GGCGTCGGCGCAGATCGGCGCGGGCGTTAACATGGAGCTCGTGCCGCTCGCGATGCAGCTCCAGGACGACATCCAAGACGCGTTCAGCCAGTACAATGACACGCTCTTGGCGCTGCGACTCGACCAAGACTTTCACTAAACCTCATCAAACGATAGTGTAGCGCAACGGAACGCTGCCCCACGACGCTCCTTGTAGCGTAGATAAGAAGAAGCCAATGCCATGCATTTTGCACGTTTTCATCGATACGACGATTGTGGCCTCGTGCAGCCGAGAAGGACCATCCGAGCGCGAAGAGGCATGGCGCCAGGTTGCTGACCACGCACGCTTGGTGAACCTCGGAAATACGCAGCCCTTTGAGCTCTACTGCTACGGAGACACAGCGTTTCCTCGGCCAAGGTCCGAGTACAGGAGTGCGAGCTATGGGCTCTACCACGGGATGGATCTCCGAGCTCACCCCCAACGACCACCTGCTGGTTCTTGTATGCAAGCAGGCGTACAATCAGTCTCTGACTTGGCTGTGAACTAATTTGATTTGAACGCAAATGATACGTTGGATTGATTGAATGTTAGGAGACTACATCTAAAGCCGGGCACGTGGGCCGGGCTGGCGATGTAGCTAAAGGGTTGCATCTTCAAGTCCTCGCTCGACCGCGACGTTGGACACGAGGACGGCCACGCGAAGCTTGTCAATGGCCGCGGCGCCAAGGAAGCTGCCCTTGGCGGACATGGCCGACTTGCTCATCTTGAGCAGCGCTGCGACGCGGTCGTGAAACGTTGCTGACGTGAGGATGAGGTTGGCGAAGTTCTTCTTCGCGACGGCGTCGGTCGTGGTGGCCGCTTGCATCCACGCCTTGTGCAGGGCCAGCCACTCCAGCCGGCTCTTCTCGGGCATCGCGCTCTCCATCACGGCTTTGGCGAGGCCATGGCCGCCATCTTGCTGTCCAGATCGGGCCGAGACCGACCCGTGTCGCGGTGGTCTACACGCGCTGCCATGGTCACGACCGCGCGTCGTCTTCGTTCTTGCGGCGCTCTGCACCGTCGTCCTGCGCCGCCATGCTGCTAGAGAGCGGCCATCGCGGCGCCTGCCGAGTTGCTGATGTAGTACGCCGTTTGGTCCAAGTGAGCAAAACAAATTTGACCTCGACGCAGATGAAGGGTGATTTGATTTGAATTAAAAAACGCCCACTTGCGTGTCAATTAAAAGAATTTGTCAATGGGTGAGTCTAAAGTATACGCAGTGTTTATTGTATTGGGGTGCAACGTCGCCAAATTGCATTTGAATTGCGTCCGACATGCAATAAAATCCCCTCGACCTCGAGATATTAGACGTTTTGTATGCAGTCAGCGCCATCGGATTGACCAATGACGTGGCGCGTTTCGAAGTGAATGGGAATGATGGTTTTAGGGCTCGGGCACAGCCTGCCCGAGCCCTAAGACCATCATTCCAGCGACTCGTTTCATCTCGACCGAGAGAGCTCGCAATACTAGCAGCATCGATGGACTTTGGACTGCAATAACACCGTTCTATAAAGTCTAGTAGGCACACCAGCGTCGTTGGGCATGTCGCGGTAACGTTGTGGTCGCTGAAGCAGCCCGGTCGTGTTCCCTGTCTCGTAATGGGTTACGAGTCTTAGCCACAGGTTGAAGTTGTGTGCGTCCAGCCCAACGCCCATACCGCATTAGTGCCAGTCAAGGGTGCTATGGTGAGCTCGCTTGGCTGAGAGAGAACGCGTCGTTGGTTTGCATATCACACAACAGTGTACAAACAAGCGACGGGATCGCGGCGTCTTGCATTTCACGCATGAGCAAGGTGATTGTATAGCTGCTCGGAGATTCGAAGCTGGAGGAGACCAACAGCATGTGATCGGTTTATCACGTCATCCGATAACGGGATGAAAAACCGTACGTATCGGGCCCGTCCAGTACCGTATGCGTCGATGCGCCAATGTCACTTTGCATGCGGAGCTCAAAGTACATGAGTCTTGCTGCTCAGTGGCGCTGACAGCTACCGCTGCCACCACAATCCTGCGGATCGCGGTCTCGTTCCTCCCAGTGGGCTTCCGAATGTAGCTTCTCGAAGCTCCTCGCCGACCAGCTTCAACTATCCAAGCGATATGATATTCGCAATGGCGCGTTTCTCGGTGGGTGTATTCTTGCTACAATCGTCACTGCTGAATAAACCGACGAACGCCAGTGCTAGGAATGCACGGGATTGCGCCTGCGATGGAGGATTCGAAGCCGGAATAAGTGGAGCACACGAGCAGTCGAGGGGGTATCTGCATGTGTACAGCCAAGACGGGCGCGGATGGTGGCGTTCTCCGTCTCGTAACCCTACCCGCACTGATAGCTTCAAGTTGCGCTGTACATGCGTCCAGCCAAACGTGCATGTTGCCAGACGATTGGTAGCTCCCGTGGCTGAGAAAGAACGAGCTGCAGCCACGTTACTTTGTACGTGGCCTGCCGGCGTATAATTTTACGACAGAGGGAAAGGGACGGCATTATATTTTTCAATGTTTCAACGGTTTCAAAATGGCGCCATCCAGACTCGATCGGTCGCAACCGCGGACGACCGAATCGATGCGAGCAACGGCACTACAGCGTCGTCTGCACCGCATATCGCTGTGTAGCATCATCGTCCAAGGACGAGCGAACATGTGCGTACGAGGTCATCGCAGGTGTGCCACTCGGCTCGTCGAAGACAACGCGACATTGTAGAAGACGCAAACGACATAAATTTGATCGAATTCTTACATATATAAGAATTCGATCAAATTGAAGTCGATTGCGTCTTCTACAATGTCGCGTTGTCTTTGAAACTTGTGCAAGTTGGTCGTTGCCGCTCTTTCTTCTTCCTGCCCATACTCCATGGAAGTACAATACATGGAACGATGATACCTGCGATGAAGCCAGCTTTGGAGCACGAGTCGAGGGACGGCGCTGCATCGCCACGCTGTGCTGGTGTCAACGTAGATCCACGATGGCGGTGAACGAATTGGCGAAGCACGCTCGAGGGCACCGGTGTCTCAGCTGCAAGCAGCGCGTCGAGGCGATTTGAAGAGTGCTCCCTCCTTCCTCGTCGACGATGAAGAAGGTCGTCACAAAGAACATTTCATGGATGCATCTGGCTGCACCCCACAGCGAACTCAGTTCCGTCCGAGCCAATGGACTTGCAGAATTTAATACGTGGCAGTCGGAGCGTCAAGGTGCAATTCCTTCTTTGCGGCAGTGTTGTATTAATTTTCGCGCAAGTGGCCATACCTTGCCACGGGATCGCCGACAACTCTCGAGAGTGGTCGCTCGGGGCAGGCCCAAGAAAGCTCTGCCCATTAACGCATTATGCTATCTCAAACTGACGCCTTGATGCAGTCGTGCGCTGTGCTCATGGAGGCAACTCGTTGGAGAATTGAAGCAGCACTGCTGCAAAGAAGGAATTTCTCCTACCAGAGTCCGTGCAAGATGATTGGCTCGACGTCAAGACGACGGGTCCATGCTGGCGGAAGCCCGCGTTGACATGGCGCTTGCGATTCCCGCGGGCGCCGTGTGAGGGAGGGCAGCGCTGGCAAGGGCGTTGTCTAATGCTACTGCACTGCTTTAAGGAGGCTCTACGCTGAGAGGAAGGAGCGCATGCCAACATGGCAGCAAAGGAGACGATTTTGCTCTTACAAGGCCGCTTGGAGCTGAAACTGGGGCATGATCTGGCGTAAAAGTCATCAAGTTTCGGCTCGGCCAGCTAATCTGCATCGACTCACATGTCAACGAACGTGTAGCGCCGCTTCGGGACCTCGAGCCTCGTCGCCAATACGCTCTTATCGTGCAGGAAAGGCCAAGGACAGATGCTGAACGTCTTGATCTGCGCTGCAGTGTAGCCTGACAGACAGACGAGATGCTCCTTGGTGGTTGTACGCCTTGTATCGAAGCCAATCCATATATCATGCACTCAACTCTGTTCCATACGTGGAATCTTATGCAAACTTCAAGCTCCTACGACTCGCTGCTGCTTAGACCTTGATGTTGGGCTCCTTCATCAACGCTTTCCCGCCCTTCGACTGGTGGAGCTTGATTGCGACACACGCGGCGAGCGCAAGCACGAACGCGGCGATCTCCAAGCCAAAGCCCGCGCCGTACGAGACGTACGCACCGAGCGGCTGCACTTGGCCGGCCCAGCAGCAGAACGCAATGAGTGTCGAGCCGACCGTAGCGAGCGTAAAGATCGACGCAAAGGTCACAAAGCGCGACGTGGCCGCGCAGCACGTGACGAAGAGGAGGAGCGAGAGGACGCTGAGGAGGCCAAAGGCCATGCCGAGGGTCGCAAACGCCAGCGTCGCCTTGCCGAGGGACCCGCACGACTTGTCCATGAAGTTGTAGAACGCATCCTTGTCCAAGCCCGCGATGCGCGTGCTGATCATGGCCGTCGAGCTGTTGGCATTCATGTACTCGGAGCACACGTCGAGCCCAATCGCAATCTTGGTGATGGAGGACCCGTTCATCGTGAGCTCGCCGCCCGCGCCGCCCGTGTGGTAGAAGCTAAAGCACTGGTCGAGCACGATGCCACTCGCTCCAAAGTCGGCGTTGACGCAGTAGCCCCACACGCCGGTTGTAAACTTGACGTTCTGGTACGCAGTCGCATTCTTGATGTCGCCGGGGACGACCGTGCTCGACCACATGGGGATGGCGAGCGCGATCGTGGCGAGCGTGAGCGCGGCGACGCTGAGGAAGATCGCAAGCAGGCCGGTCCACGAGCACGCCATCTTGCTCGATCGGTGGTGAAAAGCAAACTAAGATCTGGGGAGGCGTCGCCTGCTGAAACCGACCGCGGCCTCCGATTGGCTGAATCTTTTCGAAGCCGAGCGGGGATTGGGCGTTCGATTTTTCTCCGGCGCCGCTTGGCCCAGGAGGCGCAGTCGGAAGATATGTTCTGGTCCCTCAAGGGCGTTGCGACGCTCGTGCTCTGCGTCGCGGCCGCGGGCTTCTCATGGACGCAGCTCGTGCTGCCGACGTGGCTCGAGTCGGCGACCGAGTCAGTCGGCCTCACCAGTCACTGCGTCCACGGCGTCTGCTACTCCTTCTCGCTCCCGCCCAACGTCGGCGAAATGCAGCGCTACGCTGGGAAGCTCTTGATCCCAGCCAATACGACGCTCTGCGCCGCCTACACAGGTGGGTCGTGGAACGTATCGGGGCATTTGGTCGACGGCGCGTTCCTCGACGCGACATGCGGCTCGATCGGGCACGCGGCCATGGCCATGTGCCTCATCCAAGCGATCCTCGGCACCTTCATGGTCGCCGCGTACCTCACGTGGACGTGCGCAGCGACCAACAAGTCGTGCCTCCTCGCGCTCTGCAAGCTCCTCGCGTTCGCGAGCCTCTTTGCGAACCTGCTCACGATCACGTTCTGGATGGTGCTCAAGTCCCGGCTCCAGATCCGAGCAGGCGTCAAGGACGGTCTCGGCTTTGTCTCTACGCTGGTCTCGGCCGCGCTCTTTGGGTTGTGCGTCGTCTTGATTGGCATGCTCCGGCTCCGCGAACAGCACGAGAAGCTCCAGTCGCAGCGCAATTTGCAGCGCGCCAAGTCGTCGCAAAAGTCGATGGCCGCCGTGTAGCTACCTGAAATGGACGACTAGTCACCAAGAGTAATCACGTAATGTACATCCTGTCATGCAATCGGGGTCGAGAGGGTCGAGGCGCGGTGTCGTTGGCGCCTCTCCAAGATGGCCCGCGAGGTCCGGATAAGATGCTTTGTATGCGGACAAATGCGGGACCAATAGTTTGTCTGGAAATGGTCCTGGCCAATTGATTTGGAGATTGCTGCCATGGCCGCCAACATGCTGCAGGTCGTCGCGGGGACGTACGAAGGAATGCTGTACGGCTGGGAGGCCTCGATGGACGACCTCCTCGCCAAGAAGGCCAAGCTCAAGATGATCTACGGCTACCCGGCGCACACCGAGTGCATCAAGTCGATCGCGATGATGATGGAGCATGACGGCAAGACGCTCCTCACGGGCAGCACGGACGAAATGATCAAGTGGGCCACGCACCCATCGCCTCGCCCTCTCCTCACGCTGCATGTAGGATCTACAACGTCAAGCGCAAGGTCGAAGTCGGTATCCTCATGCAGCACAAGGGTACGCCCGACCATCTTGTACCTCGAAGATCTCATCGATGGAGGACGCATTAGGCGCCGTCACGTGCCTCGAGTACTATGGCAAGTCGCACGTGCTCAGTGGCAGCGCCGACAACACGATCTGCATCTGGCGCACGTCCGACTGGAACTGCGTCCACATCCTCGGCGGCCACAAGTAGACGCTTCGGATAGGAACGAGCGTGGGCTCAGCCTCGCTGTGTAGGGCGCCCGTCAACTCGATCGCGGTGCACCCGAGCGGCAAGCTGGCGTTCTCGGTCGCGCGCGACAAGACGCTCCGCATGTGGAACTTGGTCAAGGGCCGCTCGGCGTACATTCGCCGCCTCGACCAGGAAGCCTCCGAGGTGTTCCTTTCCCACGACGGCAACCGGTGCGTTTTCCTCGAATGACACGGCCTCTGGCTCATGCTTTTACATAGCTATGGTCTCGTCATGGGCCGCGACGTCTCTCTCTTTGGCGCTGCCAACGCCGACGTACGTCCATCGCCGTATCCTTTGCCTCTCCTCACACCCACTGCGTACTAGCTCCTCGCCGTCCTCGAGCACAAGAAGAAGGTCAACACGGCGGCGTTTGCGACCAGCGACCTCGTCGTCTGCGGCCTCGACGACGGCAGCTTTTACATTCACCGCGCGTCCGGCGGGTATACTCTCGTTCGTGTAGCAATGATGGTCAAGTTGCGTGTTTGTAGCGTCGTCGCCGAAGTCAAGCACGCGTCGCTGGACGCACGCATCCGTTGCATGCAGATCGTGGCCAAGCCGGACGAGAGCGCGCTGCCGTTCATCGTGCTCGCGACGTCCAAGGGCGTCGTGCAGGTGTGGGACCTCGCCGACTTTACGCTCAACGGCGACGACACGGTCGCGGCCAACGCCGACGTGCAGCCGGTCGTGTCGACCAAGATGTATGGCTCGGCGCTCGTGACGGCGCTCTCGGCGTGCAAGACGTCGCACGCGCACGGCGACGAAGAGGTGCCCGAGCCGATCGTGGAGAAGAAGCCCAAGGCCAAGAAGGCGGCTTCGACCAAGGACATTGTGCCCACGGTCGTCGTCGAGCACGAGGTCTCGGGTCTCTCCAAGGGCCAGAAGAAGAAGGCCAAGCGCAAGGCGGCGATGGAGGCCGAGGCGCCCAAGGAAGCGGCGCCCAAGGAAGCGGCGGCCAAGAACAAGAACAAGAAGGCCAAGAAGACGCCCACGACGTCGAAATAACTATCTCTAATACATGTAGACTCTGCTCCGTGGGTTCGTTTCAGCGAAAGTGCTTCGTAGCGCCTGCAACAAGCCTCCACCTTCGCTATCGCAGCTCTCCGCGCGCCACGTTTTGAATCCGGCAAGGCCATTGGCTCAAATTAAACTCAAGGTTTCGATACCCTGTCAAACCACATACACTTATAAAAACCTGTAGAAAGAAATACTTTAACTTTGGGAGGGACATCATTTCCGATCTTGCCGTGTTGAAGTTGCCATCGCGCTGCGCTCATGATCCCGACGCTCCTCCATGACCTCCTCCTCTTCCTCGGGAACATGCTGCGTGGGGCGGCAGACCAATTCGGCCGCATGCTAGGCAGCGCACCCGCGACCCTGCGCGAGGACGACGAGCCCATCGCGGTCCTTCCTCCCCGCTCGACGCACCGCCATCGTCCTCGCTCCGAGAAGACCTCATCGCCACGATCGACCGACTGGCCTCGGACACGAGCACGGCCGTGGCGAGCGCTGCAGAGCGTGCGCGTGCTGCGCATGGGCCGACCCCACTCGTGCCTGGGCACCCTCCTCGGCCCCTTCCGACCTCGTGGACTTGCACCTTTGCAGAGCCGATCGACGACTGGGTCAAGGACGTGGCGCAGCAGGTCATCGAGCACTGCAACAGCGATTCTCTGCTCAAAGCGTGTACTGATCTGGCGGCCGTCGACTCGGGCATCGCGCGGCAGTGTCTCGTCGTCGGCCTCGCCGAGATCTTGCAGGCGACGCCGCACGACGCCACCGCGATCGTCAACGTCATCGCGGCCGCACCCGTGCTGCACGGGCAAGTCTTGATCGAGTCGTTCCTCCGCGCGGCCCGCGTGGTGGATCTGGGGCAGTCCCAGTCGTGGCGACTCCTCATGGAGCACGCGCTTCGGTGCAAGATGCCGTATTCGGTGCTCCAGAGCATTCAGCGTGCGGGCGCTGGCGACTTCAAGCAGCTCGAGATGGCCGCTTACCACTCGATCGGCGACACCGCCAGCATCACCAACGCGTACTGGGCCGCGACGCCGCCGCCGCAACTTGGTGACTACGCCAAGGTCGTGGCCGACTTGAGCCAGTGGTCGCTGCTCGACCCGCCGAAAGCGACGATCGACTGCTTGGTCGCGCTGGAAGCCGGTGACCACACTCGCGTGGCGTCGCTGGCCAAACTGCGCATCGTACAAGACGCCGTGCCCGAGCCAACGCTCGCGGTGACCAAGGCGGAGCTTGGCCGGCAAGATCTCGTCAAGATCGCAGATGTCAGCGCCGATCTTCAGGTCGCGTCCATGTGCATCAATTGTAGACGACTCACCCCAAGGGTACATAAATTCAATTTTATGTACCCTTGACTCACCCTCGCATATACATGTAGATCCAAGGGGACGGGTGGGCGCTCGTCGAGCGTTGGAAGGAGGGTCACAAGCAGCATTGCGCCGAGCCCCGCGCTCTGCTGCGGTGCCTCGAGGTCGAGCAGCGGCTTCTGACCATGATCGGAGCCTCTTTGGAGAATCGCGCGGCGTGGTTTGTCAAGCGCGTCGCCGTCGCGCAGCAGGTTTCTGCTCCGCACGTCGTCGCCGGCGTTTTCGCGGAGCTCGAGACGACGCTGCAGCTGCTGCCAGATGCGTCGGCGGTGCGGCGGCTCACAAATCTCGTGCAGCACGGCTTGGCGGAAGACGATCTTCTCTCGACCGTCGACTGGACCGGGCAGCCAGGCGCCAGCGGCTGGACAGCGTTCCAAGCCGACGCCAACATGTCTCTGTGGGACCTGGCGTGGAGCCAGCTCGAGAACCCGACGGACAAGCGCGCGGGCAAGGTCTTTTTGGCGCTCGCCAAGGCGTGGGACAAGCAAGGAGCGCCGGAACTGGTCGTGCGAGCGCTCGAGATGTATGCCAAGAGCCTCCGGGTACAAACCCAAGCTTGCGTACCGGGTACTATGGACACGCTGTGTATAGGTGCACCGGGGCGCCCGCCCTCGACTTTCTCGGGCTGTGGTTTCAGCACCACGACGACAAGGGCGTGGCAAGCGTCCTGCGTGGGCTCCTTCTCGCGGACACTAGCACCCGCGTGCCGACGGTGGTTTTGGTGCCGCACGTGCACGCAGTCGTGGCTCAGTTTTTGGCCGCGTTCAAGCGCAACGACAAGGCTCACTACAGCTTGCTCGGCGACGTGCTTGTCCGCATGTGCGTCGACCACCCGTACCACGTGGCACACATCATCGCGCAGCGGCTTTTTGAAAAGTCCTGGGTCTCGGACGTCTTCTTTGAGAATCCCTGGGACTTTGTCGGTCGGCGCATCCGGCAGCAATCGATGCACGCGGCGCGACTCTTTGGCGCAGCTTGCAAGCTGACCGAGATGTACTTTGACATTGCCGCAATCAGCGTCGATGTGGCCGTCGAAGTCGCCGAGTTTTCTGCCTTTGCTGCGCTCAAACGATGCCACCCGGACGCGTGCGGCACGTGGCTCATGGACGAGCGCCCCGTCGTCTGGACGGCCAAGATTTCTCTCCAAAGCGACTGTCAGTACGACACGAGCCAGATTCCGTGTGTTCACAACTTTGAGCCAACGTTTACGACAACCGTTTTCGGTCCGTTGCGGCTTTACTATCCACCATTGTGACATCAAGATTGGTGCGTAGGTCGCTCGGCGCCCAAGATTGTCAAGTGCATTGGGACGGACGGCAAGACGTACAAGCAAGTCGTCAAGCACGGCAACGTCCTCCCCGTACAAGCACCTTTTTTGGGGCGGTCGATTGACGGACACTAGGACATTGCTGTCCAGGAGTTCATGAAGCTCTTCAATGCGTCGCTGCCGCGCGCCACCAAGTTTGCTGGCGTCGCTACCACCTACATCGTACGACGCTCTCAGAACTCATGTGTGTTCATGGAGGCCATCATACGTAGGTCAATGGGATCGCAGATCGTGCCGGCGTGCTGGAATTCGTCGATAACATGGAGCCGCTGGTGACGCCTATCTGCGCGATCGAGGCGCCGTATGTGAACCGCGAATGGCAGACTCGTTGGGCCGGCGCGGACGCCAAGGTTCGCGTCAAGATGCTGGCCGACGGTCCCATCGTGCTCCCGCAGTGGTTCCTAACGACGTTCCCGGACCCGTATGCGTGGTACGAAATCCTTTTGCGATTGCAACGACCAAGTGCTGTGGTGTTGTAGGTACCAAAGCCGCCTCAACTACACGCGGACGCTAGCGTCGTCGTCCATGCTTGGCGCGATCATTGAACTCGGTGACCGCAACGCCGCCAATTTCCTCCTCGACACGACGAACGGTGGCGTCATCCAAATCGATTTCGGAATAGTATTTCACTACGACTGTACGTGTGAATGACATTGTACCACGAAGCTCGACGTAATATGCGTACACAGTCGACGCCGCGACGGAGCGCATTGACGCCGTGCCATTTCGCCTCACGCGCAACCTCGTTGCCGCGCTTGGGCCGAGCGGCACGGGCGGCTTCTTTGCATTGGCGTGCGCCGAGACGCTCGAGGTACTCTACCATTGCATGCGGATGACGACACCGCAGAGTCATCTCTTGTGTGGACGTAGGTTGTGCGCCAGCACCACGTGACGATGCAGCGCCTCCTCGCGGTGCGCCCTCTCGTTTGCAAAAGTTCATTTCACGAGCAGCAAATGGTGTAGAGTGACCCGGCCGTCGCGCCACACAGCGTGTCATGCGTGGAAACCAGCTTGAACGCATTCATGCCGCATCGCGACGTGCCGATCTCGATGACGATGATCGACGACCTCATCGCGGCGGCCACAGACCCGCAGTCCCTGGCGCAGATGCCGATCGAATGTGCTCCGTGGTTTTAGCTAGCGTATTTTCTGAAATGCATACCTGTCCGATGAAGTCGGTCGCTTCGAGACACACGCTCGCTCGAACCAGACCATGTCTTGCACGATAGGATGCTTTCGTGCCCCTGCGCTTGATCGTGTTCCGCTGCAGGCAGAGCAACGCGCTCTCTGTGGAGCATTTCGGTTCCCATCATACGCCAACGGGCTCACCGCTAAGGCGTCGATGTCGAAATCGAGTGAAGACAAGCTTGCGACATCGGCTGGACAATGGAAAGGACGCTCCCAGGAAATGGTTACTGTTTCCTTGGACGCTCCGGTGACTCTAGCGACGACATCAGCCGGCGTGGTTCCCGGGTGGTGGCGCCCAAAGCTACAAGCACCAAACATCGGTGCATTCTTCGAGCACAAGGATCCTGAGTGCGCTGCCAGCAAGCCTGGGCATCATCGACACTTGGATGTGAGAATCAAAGTCTTAGTTTTGGCGCCTTATCGTCTTCAACCTTTGATACTCGATACCTGTATAAATGGTATACACCTAAAACATGTATTTTTGCAATATTTAGAGCAAAATGGTGCAAAACGAGGAGCCATGAAACCTGTCAGAATGGATTGGCGCAAACGAAGGCCATTGGCCAAAATGAACCGAGGGCCTATTCGCCGTCGCCAGTCAAAATCCAACAAACGTCCTTCGGGAAGCAAGCGCCATGGACTCCTGGGGTACGCACGCGCCTCCTCCGTAGACGACGATGGCCTCATGCATGCGACCGTGTGTAGATGATGAAGAATTCGAAGTGCCCACGTACGCGACCTCGGCCATCGGCGGCGAAGCGGCGGCTAATGACGTCGTAGGTTGAACGACAAGAAGCCTGTCGTCGCCAACTGGGACGACTCGGAAGAGGAGGAGGAAGAAGTCAAGCCCGTCGTCGCCGCCAAGCCGGCTGCGCCCACGGGTCCCCTCAAGCCCAAGCAGCTCAAGAAGATGATGCTCAAGGAGCAGGAGGAGAAGCACAAGCTTGAAGTCGCGATCGCCAAGGCCCGCGCCGAGGAGGAGCGCCACATGACGGCCGACGAACTCAAGGCCAAGCAGCAGCGCTCGATCGAGGACGCCGACTTTGAGAACGCGCTCGACGCGTTCGGCCTCAGTACGTCGAACGCGGTCAAGACCAAGGTCGCGAACGCCGGCGACCTCGAGACGGTCGTCTCGGGCATGAAGCTCGTGACGCTCGCCGACCACGAAGACCTCGGGTCGCTTGTCGGCAAGCGCCTCGTCAACTCGGTGCGCTTCATGCATGTGTGGAGCGTTCTGCCTCTCACTCGATCGCTGTCTAGAACGCCAAGTACGTGGTTGAGTTTATGAAGACGCTCATCTCGCACGCGTCGACGAACCTCACGGCCAACGACATGAACGACCTCACGACCATCATCAACGTACGTCGACCTCGTTGCATGCTTTCAGTACTTACACATGCTGCGTAGGTCATCAAGAACGAGAAGATCCAAGCCGCCAAGCCCAAGGGCAAGAAGAAGAAGGTCACGGGCAAGCAGGGCTACGCCAAGGTCGAGCGGGCGACGGGCGGCGCCGGCGCGGGTGCCAACGTGGAAGACTACGACTATGGCGATGACGATTTCGATGACTTTATGTAAACCTACACACCGCCTTTTGCTTCACTCCCATCGACTAACGACTCTCCCATCGACTAACTAAACTCTCGAGCGCAGTTCTCGCCTTGGAAGCTGCAGGAACTACTAGACCGACCTTTGAATCGCAAGCACGTGGACTGTCGGGCGTTGTCAGGAATATATATATTTAGAGAGAGAGCGAGAGAGCCGCCGCCATGGAGACGGCGACATGCTACTACAACGGCGACGACGCCTTCGACCCGCTCCTGCAGCACGAGCTCGCGCTCGAGATGACGAGTGCGAACGAGCAGGAGAGCCGGCGAAGCGCCGGCGACGACGCGCAGCTGACGGCCGTCCTCGTCCGCGTCAACCACGCCTGGCTGCACGCGTTCGCGGCGCACCACCGACGACCGTGTCTCTCGGACGAGCTCGTTTCGCGCGACTCCGTCTGGCTCAACGACTACTTCCAGAAGCTGCGCGTGCTCCACGACCCGGCGTCGTCGCAGGCCAAGCTCATCATGCAGCGGCTCAAAGAGTCGAGCCGCCGACCGCAGGCGACCGAGTACGTCCACGACGGGAGCGACGCGAGTCGGCAGCTGGTCGAGCCATTAGCGCTCATCCTGTACTGCACGACGCAGGACCGTTTGCCCGAGCCCCGCCTCGTACGACGAGGAGCTTCTCGCATCCACTGCTCCCATCTCTCGATCGACCTGCGTAGGTGCCCTTTCTACGCGAGACGGCGCTATACTTGGAGAGCCCGGTGTTACTGGCGCGCGCCAACGAGGCAGGTGCGTGTGGCTGCACCATTCTTGCCTGCTCATTTAAAGCGTAGCGCTGGCGACGCCGCTGTACCGGCTGCTCGTCGTGCGGCAAAACACTGAGGCGCGCATGCTGCTGGTGCGACTGCTGCTGGCGCTGGCCCAAGCCGACGCCTCGGCCGTGGTCCGCGGCTGCACCATTGGCGGCCAAGTAGGCGTAGGATAAGGGTGCGCGCGATGATATACTCTATGTAGGGCCGCGCGATGCTACCGAATATCTTTATCCAGACGCTGCCCAAGCGCCATCCCGAGTGCGCCGAGCTCCAAACGACCGCCGCCCGGCTCGTGCACATCTTTGACGTGCGGAAGAGCTCGTTCTTCCTCGACATTCCGTCGGCCAAGAGCCCGCGGAAAGCACTCTCGCCCGTCGTGCTGGCGGCGCTGCCCGTTCCAGCGTTCTCGCTGCCCGATGACGTGCTTCGTCCGTCGAGTCCGTACAAGGAGAGCGTGCGCCCAACGACCCACGCGATGCCACGCCGGCGTCCGTTCCCGTCGCCGACACTCCGCGCCGACGTCGACGTGCGCCGGCCGTCGACGCCGCAGAAGCTCGCGCCGCTCGAGGCGATCGATGCGCGTCTCGCCGCCTTCGACTTGACGCCGGTCGAGAAGCCGCCGTCTGTGCACAAGCCGATCCCGATGCCATTTCTCGACACACCGCCAGCCGAGGATCTGCCGCGGTCACCCATCACACCGACGACGCGCCAGCGCAAGCCGGAGCTGCAGTCGGTCGCGAGCTTCGAGTGGTACTGGCGCACGCTGCCGCCTGGCCACGCCAAGCTCTCGGACTACGCCAAGCTCAAGGCCGTGTGTCGCGCCGCCGTGTCACTGCACAAATCTGGCGACCTCGAGCGCGCCTCGGAGCTCTACGCCCTCGCCTTGCGGCTTTCCGAGCCGGTCAATGTCGAGACGGACGGGACGGCGCCGCTGCGGGTCGCGCTGCTCGTGAACCTCGGGAGTGCCCACTTGGGCCTGCGGCAGTGGGAGAGTAGCATCGCATCGCTCCGGGCGGCTATCGTGACTTGTCCCGAGCACGTCATGGCGCACTACACGCTCGGTATGGCGCTTGCCGCCAGTGGGCAGGTCCAAGAGGCCATCACCGAGCTCCAGGCCGTCGCACCGTTGCACTCGCCGGTGCTGCACCGCTGTGTGGATTGAACAATTTCTATTTTTTGCTAGGCCAAGGCGCAGCTGCGACGCCTCGAGAGCCGGCGGCCGCGCAAGGCAACCGCGTCCGCAGCGACGTTGCGCTCGGCGATCGGCCGCATGGCAATGCAGGCAGAGGCGCTCGATGTGGTGTGGGAGACGCTCTTCCAGTGTCTCGACAAGTCGCGCTGCGGCGTCGTGAGCGTCGAGGGCTTCCGCGACATGCTCCACTTGGCCAGCGTCACGTTGACGAAAGACGAGTGGCGCAGTCTGCTCGGACACGTGGCACACGAGCACGACGCAAACTACATTGTGTACACGCGCCTTGCATCGGACGTGATGCTGCAACGCCCGGCGCCGCCGTCCCCCGTCGACAAGGTTTGCTTCCACGGCCTCCGCCGACGCACGGGCATGGAGCGCCTCCGCGTCTCGCTGCACTTGCTCGCCCAGGTAAGCCTACCACGCCTCTTGGTGCAAGCCAACGTGTGTGTGTGTGCTGCAATAGCGCGAGGCCAGGGCGTTCTGCGGCACGGTCGCGCAGTGGGCTCACTTTGGCGTCGACAAGACCATCGACATTTCCTCGACAGCGCCGCCCGTCTCGTCGACGTGGATGCCCTTCGTCGTGCACGTACCGCCATGTCCGACATCCGTGCTCTCGACGCTTGCGACCGCCCTTGTCGCCCAGAGCACGGCCAAAGGCGTCGCGTCCGCCCACCGCGCAATCCGGCTCCGGCGCCTCATCACGCGCAAGGTCGTCGAGACGTTTGTGGCCAAAGGCGTGGTCTACGCGATTGCGAGCACGACAAAGCTCCTCCACGAGATGCGCCACCGGCTCGCGACGACCTGCGCCATGCACGACGTCTGCGGTGGCGTCGCGATGCACTCGCTCCGGCACTTGACCGCCGCCCATGCGCATGCACACGTATATGCGCAAGCGCAAGCCAAGACGGTCCTCGAGCGCATTGCGGCGCGCGCAGCGGCCACGGTCGCCGTGCGTGCTGGCGCCACGTTCGACCTTCCGACCGTCGGCGCCCAAGCCAAGGTCGTGGCAACGCGCTGGCGCAAAACGAGCGGCGCATTACGCAAACTGGCTGCGGCGAGTCGCAAGCACGGCGTAGCGTGGGTGCACGCTGGCGGCTCACTCCACGACATTGCGACGCTGGCGACCCGGCAGACGGCGCAGCTCGGGAAGCAGCACCGGCGACTCGTGGCCGTCGCCGACCACGCGATGCAGATCGTAGTGCAGCGTCGTGATGCAGTGGATGCCGTCGCTGTTCGGGTCGTGCGCGCGAAGATCGCCTACTACACGGTCTTTCATGCGCTGCAGACGGGCCTCTCGACGGTCTCGGGCGCGCCGCTGCCCGCGTACGACCTACCGTGGATGTTTCGCAAGTACGAGATCCTGCCGAACGACGAGATTGAGCTGCCCGGCGAAGTGCTACCGACAGAGGGAGTCGTCGGCGTCGAGCCCTGGCACACGGAGCGCACGACTTTGTAGCTCGTAGTAACGCGGGAAGGATGTGGATCGTCTTCACCGACTCGTCCAGCGTCGTTGGCTCCATCGCAGGCAAAGGCGAGAATGGCAGGCAATTGGCGGGAGCGCAAGAGGGATGATCCTTGGATGTAGAGGGCGTCACCGTCCGCGGAATTCTCCTCACCTCGACGTTGCCAACTTCAACCGAGTGACTTCAACCGGCCGATTCCGACATCGGATGTCGGACAAGGTGGCGGGTCTGTCGCGTGCTGTCTGCAGGTCGCCTGGGGCGGTGGCCTTGTGCTGCGTCTGTGCCTTTGTCGGCTTGGTGTCTTCGGCCTGGATACGCGTACCCCGGGGTGCGGTTACCGTCAACGGCGCCGCGTGGCGATCGTGGGTACTCAGGACCCTTCACGGCGTGTATACCCCGGGGTGCGTGATCGTGTCCCTTGGGATCTTGCGGGTTTTTACTCTCATCACGCGAATGATGCGCCGACGTCATCGACATTTTAATGCAGCGCGGTCGCTGATTGGCGGACGGTGCCGCTCAGCTTCAACAGGCTGGTTTGCGTCAAACGGTCCACGGCGAGTGTTTTTTAGCCCGGGGGGATTCTCCCGCAGCGCTGGATTCGATACAAACACCAAGTGTCACCGCCTCCAACTTGCATTTTAAAAAATACGCCCAAACGCCTATATAATAATAAAAAAGTATCTTTGGCCGCGTGGGAAATTGCACAAGTGAGGGAATAAAATGCGCGCGCGCTGATAAAAATAGCACCACCTAAGAAAGGCGGCCACTTTGCCTTTTCGCCTCTAATGCTCACGACGACGACCCCGACGCTGACGGCGCCCAAGCCCCTCGTGGCCGGCAAGAAGCCGCAGAACCCGACCGCCAAGTTTGTCATCGGTGCTGGCGTCGCCTGGTCGTATGAGCTCGCGCTCGGCCACTTTTTCGAGTTTATCAAGGTCATGAAGCAAACGCAGGGCCACAAGTCGTATCTCGAGCTCGGCCGCGAAATCACCAAGGCCAAGGGCATTTACGGCATCTGGGACGGCTTCTTCCCGTGGGGCACGGTGCAGGCCATCGCGAAGGGCTCGGTCTTCTCGTGGGGCCAGGCCTTTGCGCGCATGCAGATGGTGCCGCTCGTCAAGCAGGGCACGCTCAGCGACCGCACGGCCGAGATCATTTCCGGTGGCTTTGGCGGCGGCGTCCAAGGTATCTTTCTCTCGCCGACATTGCTGCTGAAGACGCGCGTCATGACGGACCCGGTGTTCCGCAACAAGATGACGGGCTGGGAAACGTGCAAGAAGTCGGGCCAGGTCGGCATGAACGTCATTCGCCACGAAGGCATTTCGGCGCTCATGAAGGGCAGCATCGTCTTCTCGCTCAAGCGCGTGGCCGACTGGTCGACGCGCTACGCGTTCTGCGTCCTCACGGAAGAGGCGCTCTTCAAGGGCGACGACCCGAAGAAGAAGCTCACGGTCACGGAAGAGCTCGCGTCGTCGCTGATTGGTGGTACCCTCTCGTGCATTGCGACGCTTCCCGTCGATGTCATGGTCGCGCAGATCCAGCAGGCCTCCAAGGCCGGCGCCAACGTCGGCATCATCTCGACCTTCAAGGACGAGTACGCCAAGGGCGGCATGAAGCGCCTCGTCGGCTTCTCGATGGCCGGCTTTATCCCGCGCTGCTTGCACTGCGCGTTCACGACCATGGTCATGAAGACGGGGTGCTCGGTCGTCTACGACATGTACGAGCAGTACACGGACGCCAACTAAGTATATGATGATGTCGAGTGATATCAAGTAGTCGTAGTAAGTTTTGTAATTAACATCTTCCATCAATGCGCTGCCGTGTCCTGGAACGCTGGTGGCAGGAACTCGCGGTAGTGCGCGAGCACGTCGTCCTCGCGCGCCTGCATGACCTCGTAGTCGGCGTCGTTCTCGTGGTCGTAGCTATGACATCACCCAAGATCATAAGATCACTACCGCGGTCTCGACGCAGCAAAGATACCCGATGAGGTGGCAGAGCCCGTGGGCCACGAGCACGGGCAAGCGGTCGTCCAACGTCGTATCTATGACCCATGGTATGTTGTCGACTCGACGTGCATGGCCACGCACCATGGTGCTTGCAGAACGACTGCACATACGGGATGCCAATGAACATGTCGCCAAGGTAGCGGTCCTCGTCCGTCGCGACGGCCGGCAACACGCCTGGCACCGCGATCTACCACCCAAGAAAAAGTGAATTTCTGGATACGATCGATCAACGAAGGCGATGTGTATGACCTTGTAATTGGGAAACGAGAGGATGTCTGTGGGCTTGTCCTTCTTGCGCGCCGTGCGGTTGAGGTACTGGATGTGCTTGTTGGTCGTGAGGAGCAGGCCCGCGTCCCTAGGACATGCGCTGAGAGATCGCAGGCGGCGGTGGCATGGCTACCATGGCGTGGCCGACGACCCGTTGAGGTAGCGCAGCATCGCATTGAGCTGCGCGTTGAGCTTGGCTGTCGACAGCGGCAGCTTCCCGCGAAAGTCGCGCCGGAGCTGCGCGTTCACAATCACCATGGCCACGCAAATTGGCGGCTTTTTTATTTGATTCGACATTTCAAAATAATTTTTAAGATTTGCCAAGTTGAAGTTGCACGAATCTCGACCAGGATGTCGATCGTTGGCGGAGTACCACGACCGCTCGCGTGCCGTGCTGGCGTGAGATTCTTGTGGCCACGCGCCGACGTTGAGATGCACGATGCGATGTCCGACCAGAAAGAAGCAACCCAAGATCTGAGCAAATAAGCTTACGAGTGGTTTCATCGGGCCGCGACGCGTCGGAGGTTGATGTTGACTCTGGCGTGCGCGATGTAATCTGCGAAGGCGTCGACCTCAGCCGGGATGTGCGTGTGCTTCAGCGCTTGGGTGCACGCCGCAAAGTCGGCGGGAAGTTTGTCTGTGACGAGCGGGACGCCATGGAAGCATCGACGGGCTTCGCCACCCATGAGAATGATATCACCTACTTGAACGCATGAGCCGAAATCGTGTCGGACGCATCGTCGTACCGCTGCGCAGCCAGAGCGCCGTCGGTGGCGTCGCACGCGTCAAGCCGCCCTGCAAGTAAATGCACTGCGTCCCGAGGCTCAGTGACACGATCGGGTTGATCATGTCCGACTCGGCGTTGTCCAAGTGGCCGCCCATTGACGTCCCCGCCGGATAAAAGTTGACGATGCCTGACTCGACGTCCCTGCCATCAACGTAGCTTGTCATCGCGTACACCTCCTTTACGAGTTGCTGGAGCTCCTCTGGCAGCGGCGGGATGTCGGGGTCGGCCACGTACTGTCGCGCTGTCCAGTCGTAGTGGGCGCCGATGTTGGCCCAGCGCAAGGCCTGGAACGCCTTCCACGCTGGCCGCCCAGACGTCGTCGCGTCTTCGTGCCATGCATCTTGCCAGAGCCTCGTCGTCGCTCCTCGATCGCCCGTGAGGTTGGTCACGTTGTTGTAGGGCTGTTGCGAGTAGGCTCGGACAGCGCGGAAGGCCCATTCGACTTGGGTCGTGATGGGCATGGCACCAGTGAGCACCATCAAGCCACGGAGCCCGTCGACCTCGTAAATGTATGCATCGCGAGGACTGAGGATGGTGTAGTTGAAGGCGAGCTCCTCGGAGGACAGCGCGCGGCCATGGAGGCGAGCCATGTTGGCAGCCGCGTTGGCCTCCTTTGCATGGACGTCGATGACGCCCGAGAATTCGACGCGGTCGGTCTGCCGGTGGGCGTCGTGTCGACGCTGGCGCGCGTTCTTGTGGTCGTTGCCCCGATGGCGATACTGCTTCTCGAGCGGCCGGAAGCGGTCCACGTCGTCGGCCATGCTTCCAGCTTGCAGCCGATATTATATTCGGCACGACCTGTTATATTCGGCAGAAGAACTAGCGGCATCTGCCGTAAGTACCGGATATGATACATTCTTATCCGGTCGACGGTAGCAAAGATCCCATTTCGGGAATCGCGCGCGAAGGAAGAAGCGGTCGAGAGGAAGCGCGGGATGTCACGGCAGGTCGTATCGCTCTCGCAGATGCTGGAGCACGATGGAAGGTAGACGCATGTATGCATGAGGATGCAGGAGGTGAATGGGCCTCGCAGGAAGCGCGATGGATATGGCGCTGCGCTGCGGCCGCCATCGCACCGCGGGACCACGCCCCATGAAGGCGGCCATGCACCAAGGCGCAATGACCACATGCAGCCAGTCTTCCGATCGACAGGTACTCTATGCAACCTCGGCAGTATGACTCCAAGTACGTGGCAAGGGTATCGACCGACCCAACCGTCGACCCAAGACGACCACTACTCCCAGCGTCCGAACCACGCCAATGGCAGCTGCTTGGATCATCAGGTTCTACGTCGTAGGCTACTCGGGGGCCTCGCAGGCGACGAGCTACACGTCTGAAGAGCCACAAAGTCTGTCCCAAGCGACGACGACATTTGCCTCGGCAAGCCAAGAGGAGGTAGGCCGTGATGGTGACTCAGTACGGGGCTCTAAACGTCATGCAGATCGTTCCGCTGCCCGCGCTGCTGCACTCCCGATATTCGCGCATGCTCATGAACATGACGGACGCCCAACGATTGACCATCTCGCACGCAGCCCCCTCCTCTTCGTCCACCGGGCCAGATCCCGGCGCTGTATGTGCGTCCTCCACTTCTGCTCTAGCCGAAGAGGCGGCATTCGCTAAAGCCGAGCAGAAGAAACGAAAGCGCGAGCAGCTCGCTGCAGAGAAGCAGGAGCGCCGTCACGTGAAAGAGCAGCGCCGCATCCAAGTTGAGACCGAGAAAGCCGCTCGACGAGCATTGAAGCAGAAGTTGGGCGACGAAAAGCGGGCCAAGAAGGAAGCGCAAGAAGCTGCGCGGCGGCTGCAAGAGACGACCCAAGCCGAAGCCAAGCAGCGTCGTCGTGGCGAGAAGGAGATGCTACGACTCGAGGCACAGAAGAAGGCCCAAGATGACGCGACGGCAACCCTCTTGGGCAAAGTCGTTCGCCGGCAGGAGAAGCGCCGGATCGCCACCGAGAATGAGAAGCGACTGCGTGCCGTGGAGACGATGCTTCATGCAGCAGAGAAGAGTCGCACCGAAGAGACGATGCGCGCTTTGCGCATGGAAACCCAGATCAACACGCTCGCTGCAGCCGTCGAGCAGGCGCTTCTGGAGGTGCAGCAGGAAGGATGTCCTTCATTCGCTGTATCTAACCCTTCTTGCAGAAAGATGGACTCGCAGAGACCTTGCTCGACCAGAAGAAGGCTATCGCAACGTGCACATCGGACCTCCAGAAGGCAGTTCATAATCTCGTCAGCGTCGAGGCTCCTATGAAGCGCCATGTGCAAGCCGAGTCGTTCACCCCGGTTGCACCCACTCCCAAACCCCAGCGTCGGGCACGGTCGTCTGCGGTACCAAACGCTGATGGTCCAGCGACTTTACGACGATCGCTTCGCATGGCACAACGTGTGAACCGTGCCTTGGTCGTGGACCCGCCTGACGTTGTCGTTCCTCAGCCGCCGCCGGTCGAGGCGCCCACCGACGTCGACTACGGATGCTTGATCGCACTGGACATGATCGAGAAGGCGCGGGCGAAGAAGCGGCGAAAGGAGGTAGCGCAGGAGTACTGATCGTTGTAACAAGACACGCTTCATATTCTTACGGGCGGCGCACGGGGCCGTGCCTGCATACCTAGTCTTGGTACTTGATCTACGCGATGCAGCATGAGCACAAGCCTGATGAATGTCATTGCTAGAACGCACCGGCTTCATGCCAAGCCACGGGTCCTTGACGAGCGCCGCGTACTCTTCCCGGATGGCTTTGCACGCAACGAAGTGGTTCACGCCGTTCTTCATGTAGCACTCGGCGACTTCTTCGCGGAGGAGCTTGACGGTCTGGTGCGAGATCATCTTCTCCTTGGCGAGGTCCTTCTTGGCCTGCATGAGCATCGCGATGTCCACCGTGCCCGGGCGGGGCAGCACCACTTGACCGTTCTCCGCCATTAAAAACGCAAATAAGAGCGGAGTGGCCCGCGCCGGATAAGCACGCGAAGGCCCTTGGCCGCACAGCCGCCAAACCATTGTATGATCCTCTTACCACTGGCTTTTTGTATAGGGCCCGATATTTTAATTCCAAGCATCGATCATCCGCATACGACCCGTTGCCGTCAAGAGCAAGCGCCGCCACGCTGCCAGCACTGAGGCAGGTATATTACCGTATAACCTGAATCGCATGCCAGGTCATTATGGCACTGCGTTTCTGCCAAGGTCATGGAGATAACAGGCCACGTAGAGAATGACAATCATGCTGCAGGAAGCCGCCGGCGAATGCGGAGCTGCTTGTCATCTGGGTGCCGAGGGCGTCCGAACGATTCCCGGTACGCCTTCAATTGCATCACGCATTGCCCCATTGATATGGCATGAGTGATAGTAGACCAAGTAGGGCTAGCTAGCTAGCTACACTGGCGGTGCTAGGAACACAGCAGGCATGGTAGTGGGCGATCGCCTCGTTGGCACGAGGAATCTCGTATCCGAATACGGTACGGATAACGAAGCACAGGAAGATCGGGGTCTAGCAGTTCTGCGATGGTCCGTCGGAAGCAAGCGCAACCAAGGGGCCCGCGTCATGGAGACGACGCATCCACGGCGGAAGCCGTTCCGCACGCTGCGAAGAAGCGCCGCCTGGTGATGATGCCCAGCCGAGTCAACGCGCCGATGCACTCGGCAGCGAGCGACCTCTGCATCCATGTAGCAGTGCCACCGAGCAGCCACATTCCATGCCAAGCCAGGACAACGGACCACAACGCTACGTGCCACCTCAGCCTTGTGCAAAGCGATGCGCGGGATGGCGCGTACGACAAGGCGTATCTTGGCGATGATGAGCTGGTCGAGACGACGGCCGTGGGCCTCTCGCCGCCGATCCTCACGGCGCTTGCCCACGTCGCGGCCGCCAACTACGTTTCGTTCGTCGTCTCCATGCATCCTACGGTGCTGCGCGTGTACGTGCACATGGACGTCTACGCGAAGTGCAAGCAAGCGGCGATGCGTCAGCACATGCGTCGCTTCATGGCCTGGCTCCTCCTTGCATCGAGAGACGAATGGTCGTACCCGTACCTCTCAGAGCTCGAGACCATGACGGCGCTTGTTGCTACGCCTCTAGTACACCCGTCGCAGCTACTCGAGCATGTCGCGCCGTGCCCGTTCTCGGCGGCGGGCGACGCCTATGTCCCGAGCCCGCACCTCCTTCCGACGCTGCGCCGATACCAGCGCGCCGCCGTCGCATGGATGCTGGAGCGCGAAGCTGGCGTCGATCCCAAGGTTTGTACCTCACATCGGAATCTCGTCGTTCTTATGATGTCTAGGGCACGCTCGCTACGTTGCAGACAACGCACGCCACGCACCTCGGGACCTCGATCGCGTACGACCCCTTCGCTGCCGCGTTCGTCCCGCCACGCACAGCACCGACCGCCATTGTGCGTGGCGGCGTCCTTGCCGACGAAATGGGCTTGGGCAAGACGCTGCAAGTGCTCGCGTGCATCTTGTCGCACCCGTGCTCGATGCCATTGACCGTGTCGGCTGCGCCACCGCCACGCGCGTGGATTAGAAACGACGTGAGCTGCGTCTGCAACTCGACGGCGACACACAGCGCTGGTGTCGTACGCTGCACTATGTGTGGCATCCTCCAGCACCGCATCTGCACGGGCGCCGACGCCGACGCGACGTTCCATTGCGAGGCGTGCTTGCGCGTCGCCCACCCGCTCTGGCTTGCCAAGACAACGCTAATTGTGTCGCCCCAGTCCATCCACAAGCAGTGGGAGGCCGAGGTTCTCCGGCACACGACGCCCGGCGCCGTCACCATCTACGTACACCCGCTCGCTTGATGGATGGACGGATACCAAGGTATGTGGGTAGTGCTATATCGGCATCAAGGCCATGCGGGCGCGTCTTCGTGGACCGTCGTCCGAGTGGCAGTACTCTCGGGCACCGGTCCTCGCTACCTTTGACATTGTCTTGACCACGTACGATATCCAAGCACGCCACTTGCACAATGGTGTATATGTAGGTACGAAGCGCTGCGCGACGATGTCCACTACATACAAAACGCCGACGTCCGAACGTTGCGCCAGGCCAAGCACTACCGCATCGCGGCAAGCCCGCTCACGCACCTCTTCTTTTGGCGCGTCTGCCTCGACGAAGCACAGCTCGTCGAGAGCCAGCAGGTCGTCGGCGTCATTATCCATGCACTCTGAGATCTGATTTGGTTTGTAGACGCAAGCGGCCGTCATGGCATCGCATCTCTCGATGCAGCACCGGTGGTGGGTCACCGGCACGCCCTTTGGCAAGAGCCTGGCCGACGTGCACGCGACGTTGGCCTTTCTGCGCGCGACGCCATTGGACGCCAAGGCGCTTTGGCGCCAGCTCACGCCGCACGATCGCCTCGTGGATGCGCTCCAAGGGCTCGTCTGGCGCAACCGCAAGTGCAATGTCGACGATCAGATCATATTGCCGCCGCAGACGACGCAGTTTCATTGGCTCGAGCTCTCGAGCATCGAGGCGCACTTTTACGACACGCAGCACGCGGCGTGCACGCAGTACCCGACTCGATCTCAAAGACATTATGTCCAGAACCCAACGTAGGAGCTACGCAGCCGGCGACGTCGTGACGCCCGCGATGCTGCAGAGCCTCTTGCGGTTGCGCCAAGCCTGCTGTCACCCGCAACTCGGTGCGCACGGCATCCGTGTGCTCGACACGACCGGGCGCGTGCTCACAATGGACGAGATTCTCGATGAGATGCTGCTCCACGTACTCGAAGCTTTAGGCGGCTGAGTGTCGTGGTGTCATGTACACTATTTACTAGGCAAGACGGACCTGCGAAGACGCGCAGCGTCTCTGGATCGCTGCGACCAATGGCCTCGCCGGCATCGACGCCATCGAACACGACGCTGGCGCCGCCATTGCGCGCTACTGCGACGCGATGGCTCTTGTGCAGCACCACTGGAAGGACTTTCGAGCGGACGTGCTGCCGCGACTGCACATGGCCGTCAACCTCCAGCGACAACTCGCCAATTTGGTGCCTGCAACTTCAGGGACTGCCGACGCGTCCATGCCTCCCTTCTTGAACGCCAAAGACGAGCACGGTCTTCCATCACTTGCCTCGCTGCAGGCGTGCATGCGCCAAGAGCTGGACGGTGGAATGCTTGCGCGTCTTGTGGCGAATCCGTCGGTCGTGTCTGCGACAGCAACAGCGCTGGCTGCGTCGGCACGGCAACTGGAGCAGTACTACTTGAGCACAGCGACGGCACAGCACGACGCTGCATGGCACAAGTACACGGTAGCACACGACAGCGTGTCTTCGCGTCGCATCTCGGCAGCGCCACTGGCGGCCATTTCAGACGCGCAACTGGACCGGCTTCGCGCATCGTGGCTCGGCCGTTCGGATGGCTACCAGCGCTTTGCCCGCAAGTTTACATCGACCGCCGGGCTCATCTTTCTGGCGTCGTCGGCGCTTGAGGACTTTGCGACACGCCGCATTGAGATCCACGACGCGCTTGTGCACCTTAGCGACGGCATGCCGTCCGCACGTGACGTGGCACTCTCAGGTGCGCAGGACCGTATAAAGAGGACAAACGATGGATTGCGTAGGCAACTGTCAACGCTGTCGGCAAGACCGGTACGGCCCCGTGTGCGACCACTGCAAGCTGCAGCCGTCGCTCGACACGCTGCGGGCGACGCTCGTGGACGACGGCGACCTGGCCGTGCTCTTGCAGGTCCTCGGCGAGGTGCATGGCGAATATAATGACGTGCTCTCCGCTGTCCGCAAGGAGGTCGCGTGCGCCGCCAAGCTCTGGCAAGCGCAGCACGCGCGGCTCGGCGGCCTCGACGAACTCGCCATGGCCAAGACTACCATGACGCTCTCGACCAAGGTCGACAACGAAACGGTATCCGCATCGTTTACCGCCAACACACAGCATCAACATGTCGCTCTGCAGGCCATCTATGAGCTCCACGCGTACGAGCTGCCAGCAAAGCGAATGGCGCTCGATGGAGAGCGCGCCGACGCCCACGCGACGCTAAGTACTGCGCTCAACCAGCTCCGGTACCTCCAGAACCTGCGACACCACCGCGTGACGTCCTCATCGCGTCGCGACGACTGCGTCGTGTGCCACGAAGAGCTTCCGATCGAGCGCGCCGTGTGGCCGTGTGCGCACGTGTTGTGTCGCTCGTGCACGCAAGCGATGGTCAAGTCGGCGAGACGCGCGCTCTGTCCGACCTGCCGTCGCCCCAGCACCGCGTCGTCGATTCAAATGGTCCGGGACGAGCCGCTGCGCATCGGTACGTGCTTTTCCAATCGCAAAAATATTGTCTTGAAGATCGAGTTTGAGGCTTGGGTGTGGAAACATAGGGCCCGAGTGCGGGACCAAGGTCGACAGCATCGTCCGCTGCATCCTTGGTCTCGGCGACGTGCGCGTGCTGCTCTTTTCCCAGTGGCCCGACATGCTGCGCATCCTGGCAACGGCCTTGCATCAAGTTGGCGTGCAGTGCATTTACCCCGAGGCAAAAAAGACTTTGAGAAGGGACTGCAAGCGTTCAAGGCGGCGACGACGTCGGCGTGCGTGCTGGCGCTGCCCTTTCGACAAGGCGCCAACGGCCTGAATCTTGTCGAGGCGTCGCATGTCGTCTTGGTCGAGCCGCTCTTGAACGCATCGGTGGAGCGACAGGCCATCAACCGCGTCCATCGGCTCGGGCAGGAGAAGCCGACGACCGTCCACCGCTTTATTGTGCAGCACTCGATCGAGGAAGGGGTGTTGGCGCTGCAGGCCCGCGACACCCACCCGCCACTGCACGTGACCGAGGTGGTCTCGGCAACCGACTGGCGCCTGCTTTTGCAGCAGGTGACGGAGACGCATCCATCGAGATCCTCATGTCGTTGTTAGGACCATGCCGCGATGAACGACGGGTTTTGGTCGGCGCCGATGCGCGGGCCGTCGCGTCGGCAAGTCAAGGACCGCTTGGAACGCGCGAGATCGTTTGAATTGCGCGCCGCTGACGCCCGCCTCGTCGACGAGCCGACGCTCGTTGTCTGCGGCGTCTCTCTCAGCGTGCATGTCGCTGCGCAGTTGCTCCGAGGTAGCTCTCTGCATTGCGGGAATGTCGTCTAGGTGTCCATGGTGGTGTAGACTGCATTGCCGTCGATGATAACGATGCAGCGTTGCTTGCGGTGCTCCGACAGCGCCTGCGCGTCAAGCTCCACACGCTGGGGCTCCTGGCGCCCGACGGCGCGTAATTGCAATGAACCGCCGATATCCCGTCCGCGACGCCGGGTCGAATCTCATTTTGCGCGTTGGCGATACTCGTGCATGCTCGTTCATAGACCTAGTCTCTATCTTGTAGAAAATGAAGTCGCAGGTGATGGCAAAGCATGAAGACACGAAGATGCTACGGCGTTGTCGGCCTCGTTGTTGTTGCTGTATACGCGCAGTACGCCGTCGTGTAGAGGTACTCGAAGAGAATGCGCTTGGTCTTGGCAAACACGCGCACGAGCGGCTTGTCCTTGCGACTGCCGTCGGCCGCGACCACCGAGTGGTCGAGACGCGCCAGCAGTTGAAGTTGCACTTTGGACGGCAGACAGAGCACTTTTTTGGTCTGCAGGAATTGGCTGTAGAGGGCATACCCCACGGCGCGACGGCGCTCGGTCGGGTCAAGTGCATCGATTGCGCGCCACAAGTCGACATGGGCGTCTTTGCCTTGACGTGCACAAAAGGCGCGAAACCCTTGGTCCGAGCGCAGCACGAGCATAAACCGGTCCCGACTCGACGCCGCCTTGTCTTCCAGTCGCATCGCTGCGCGCTCTCGGGCTCCAATCACGTCGGCGAGCTGGTCGCGTGCCTGGTGCACGAGCGCATGGGATGCGGGCAGCCGGCCGAGGCGACGTTGCAGCGTCTGGTGGGCAAGGCCCACGCTCGCCGCGTAGTCCGACTGTGCGATCTACACGCGACATGTCAGCTAGCGTTTCTACTACGATGTGAAAGCTGACAGACCAAGAAGTGGTGGTAGTCGTCGAGGCCGGCGCACAGATGGCTGTCGTCCATGGCCACGTGCGTCCAGAGAAGCGCCAACGCCTGGTCGAAGCGCTGGATGGCTGCCCCTGTCTCGTTGCGTGCCTACGCTCAACCGGTAAGCGATGAGCTGCCTTGCGTGAACCACCGCAAGCACGCGCGCGTGTTCGAGGTACACGTGCCCAAGGAAGGCCACGTCGTCGTCAACGTCGGTGCAGAGGCTCTTGAGAAGCGTCTCGAGCTGCTGCTTGGCCTCCTCGAGCTTGCCTTCGCGTCGGTAGACACTGGCCAGTTGAAGCTGCGCCGTGTGCAGCTTGCCTAGTCGACACATGAAGAGCTGTCTCGGCAGGGCGAGGAAGGTCTGTACGGTTGGATTGGTTGGCGACGACCGCGTCGATGGTCGCGAGCTCGACCTGCCGCACGCGCTTGGGGCTCACGAGTGCCGCAACCGCTCGTGACGTGGCACCCTGCAGCTTCAGCACGCTTTCGTAGATGCTGTGGCACGTAGCAAGATGGTCGTTCCACGAAGCCTCGTGGTCCTCCGGTGCATTCGTCGGTGCCATCTCGATGTACGTGTGATGGCGGTTTGCAGCTTGGAAGTGCACGCGACCGTAGCACTTGTCGCAGTAGCAGCACTGGCACGTGGTGCAGAGCTTGCGAGCAAAGAGGAGCTGGCAGCTGTTGCAGAGGCTCCTTGGTGCGCACCTCGGCTTTGACGGCGACGGAACTCGCACTGGGCGCAGCGGCGACGACGGCGGTAGCGAGACAGTCGTCGGTGGCGGGGCCCACCACTGCCGTGTGTGGGCTTTCTGTGCGCCCAAAACGGCAGCGAGTGCATCGTGGCCATGCGTGTGAAGATGATAAAAGCAGTCGCGACCGAGGAAATCGGGCTGATTGAGGTCAGCGCCAGCCGCGACGAGTTCGTTCAGAACGTCGAGACGGCCTTTCTGAGCCGCAATCATGGCGCCGGTGAGGCCAAACCGGTTGGGCAGAAACCACGGACAGAGCGGAAGGGCAGCTCGGACGTCGCTGACCGATCCCCGCGCACAGCACACGTGCAAAAGCATGTCACCGACGGGCGACTCGTAGGCCGGACTCGCCGTCTTGTGCGCTCGAAGGTACGCAAAGATCGAGGGTATTGGCGCCGCGTCCATGGCACGTGCAAGCCCGAGCTCAGTCGCCGCCAAATCTTTCGCCTCGCGCGTGGAATCCAGAGCAGAGCTGCCGCTACACATGGCTGCCGCGCCAAGAAACCCTGCGGCGTGGGCCATGGCCGCCGCCGTGTCGCCATTCGGGGCCTACTCGGTTATCTTGAGCTCGAGGAAAGCCAATGCGAGGAGTATACTTGGAGCGCCGGCGCCGCGCCATGGGTCAACAGCAGGCGCACCAGCGACAAGAAATTGTGTTTGGCGG